GCAGCAGGCGTCCTGGTCCTCTGGCTCTTGCAATCTTTCCATCCCCTTCTTCTGTGTTCCCTGACCTTAGGTATAGGGGTTGTCTTGTAGATGTTTCCGTTGTGGCAAGGCACCCCACACCTGTTTTCACCTGTTGTGGAACATTGTAATAGTATCCATCTGTTGCAAAGAGAAGCTTCTTTGATGTGTGACAAGATCTACATGTATCTGTGAATATAAGGGTAAATATTGAGAACGTAATATGAAGTCACATTGGTTTAGGAAAGTGGCAGTAGTAGGATCTCCTCTAGGGTCTATGACCTCTCTAGCCATAGGTACTTGGCTATGTTTACAGTACCATGCATGGATTCCCTCCTATTGAATGGGTTTTAAGTCCAATTAGACTGCTGTTATTTACTCCAAAGAGTGCCAATATTGTATCAATAGAGATATTTTGCTGGGTCAGTCAATGTTGTGGTTCGTTAACTTTACAGTCGGGTAGGATTATTGATTTGTTTTTCTCTTGGTAGCATCTTCCAATACTATGAGAGCTAATCTTCAGGAAGGAGGCCTCCAGGTAAGTTCCAGCTCAAATTCTCCAAGTCCTGTGTCTGAAGTGTGTGCTGTTTTCAGCAATAGGGTCTTACCTTCAAGCTCTGGGAAGTAACCCCAAGAGCAATGGCAATTGGGAGTCTCTTGTGCTACCCTGTCCACCAAGTCAAGGGAGGTTTCCCTTGCCTGGCACTCGGATTTTTGTTAAGAGAGCCTTATAATTATAAATGCACACACTCTTATCTCATAAGCCATATAAAATCCAACAGTGCGTCCATTTGGTTCATATACCATGGACTACCAGCCCCTCCTCTGTGACATACCATTATCACAGTTTATGAATCAATTTCTTTGTTACTGGGTATTGATACTGAAATTTCCTTGGTGAATTCTATATCATCAACACATTTCAGGGGAGAATAATTGGGGGAAACCTATAAAAACATTTATTCTCTATTTTTAGGGCATAGAATACTATACATCTTTAACAATCTGTTTAAGGCAAAACTTGCTAATTTGCTGTTTTTAGCTTTTCTATATATATTTTGACCAATTCACTTTTGTTAGTGTTATCTTAAAAATCTGTCTATGGGGGCTGGAGAGACAGCTCAGCGTTTAAGAACACTGGCTGTTCTTGCAGAAGACCCAGGTTTGAATCCCAGCACCCACATGGCAGCTAACAACTGTCCGTAACTCCACTTCTAGGGGATCTGACAGCCTCTTCTGTCCTCCACGGGCACTGTACAACACAGGTGCACTTATCTACATGCAGGCAATGCACACATACACATAAAAATAATAAATAAAATATAAAAAAACTCTCTATGAAAGAATTCTTCCTTATAATTTGATTAGCTTTTCCTTTTATATTTCTTAAAGTTATACAGTCATAAACACAAATTGATATTGTCATATCTTCATAATGGATTGATATTATGATGGAGGGTTCAAAGTCAACCCTTTAGACACTTTTTGCTTTTAGTTAGCTTTGCCTTCTCCTAATATTATTCTCCCTAGTGAACTATATTTCAGTATCTTTGTTTTCAAGCTTTTTGTGTGGTATAGTTTTGGGAGCCTCACATGTAAGCAGCATGACTTTTTAATACTTTATGGGCAGGTTTAAACCAGCTCTGGTGTGGTGGTTAAAAACATGTGCTAGGCCACTTGGATCCTGATTTCGACTCTTCCATTTATTTGTGTGTGAGGCTGTGAAGGTTCCTTAATCTTTCCATACCTCATAACTGGATTATTGTGGGGATTTGATGTTCTTAAAAAAGTGCCTAGCAGGTAGGAAGCGCCCAGTCATTGTTAGCTGTTTAAGAGTTGTGTTATTGTTGGTGTGTTTGGCCTCATTTGTACTGTGGCTTTGTTTTTTGTCTTTATCTTCCTGTCATTTCTTTCTCTCCTTTCCTATGAAGATTCTCCTTTTTATTCCATTTTGTTCTGAATAATCTATCTACTTCATATCTATTCTTTCAGAGATTATACTTAAAATTTTTAGTGTTTATTGAGATATATTTGATAAGCAGTTGAATGAGTATATAGATCAAGTTTTTAATCAGTGTAATTAATTCCATGTTTTATGTTTATCTATTTGGTATCCACTAATTACCAAATAATAGCTTTTACTTGCATTTCCCCTATGACCCACAGGTCAAATGTCTGAGCCACCTCCTTACCTAATGCTCACACACTGAGTTACCCTTTCCCTGCCCTAAATCAACCATGACCAAGTTGCAGACATATAGGAAAATCTCTGTACCCCCAAAGCTTACTGAAATTTTTAAACAGCCAGTCCAAAGTGTGTCCCCTGGCCTGGCCTGCCTTGCCTTTCCCTTAGATACCCTGATAAGGTCTGGTCTAGGCTTTCTCTTCTTTCTCCGGCCTCCTGACCCACCTGGTGCTTACTGGTATGACCTCGCTTGGCATGCCATGACCTGTTGTCTCTTGGGAAAACAAGAAATGGATCTTTTGATGGCATTGGCATCTCTTTGTTGCTTCTACAAATCCAAACCCTGTGGGTAGAAGTTTGTAACTTCCTAAATTTTTCTAACGCTTCTTTGTAATCCTGCTCTTGTTTTATTTTTTGTTTGGTTTGGTTTTTTGGAGACAGGGTCTCACTATGTAGCCCGGACTGGCTTGGAACTTGCTATGTAGACCAAGCTGGCTTCAAACTCACAGAGATCTGCTTGCCCTGGCTCCCAAGTGCTGGGACTAAAGGTGTGCACCATCATGCCTGGCTTAACCCCTCTGTATTCTGTTATTCCTCATTCCCTACTCCCTCTGCAAATACTAGTCTATTTTCTGTCAGTATAGATTTACGTTTTCTAGTTTTATATAGTAGCATAATACATACGCATTTTTCTAAATTATTTCATCTAGCAAATTATTTTTTAATTCGTGTTATTGTATATATTAAGAGTTTTCCCCTTGATTTTGCTGAAAGCAGTATTACCTTATATAGATATATCACAGTTTGTTAATTCACTCATGATGGTCACTTGGGTTATTTCTAGTTTACAGTAATTATGAAGAAAGTTTCTGTGGATATTCAGATGCAAGTATTCCTGTGGACATATGTTTTTCTTTATTTTGTATAAATAACTAGGAGGCAAATGACAATTATATGTCAGGTATATGATAAACTTTTAAGAAAATGGTAGTTTTCCAAAGAGAATTGTCCTACTGGACATTCTCAGCATCAGAGTATGAGAATTCCTATTGTTATACATCTTCACCAGCATCTGGTGTGCTTAATCTTTTTAATTTTAGTATTTTTTATAGATGTGTAGTGATTCTTGTTTTATTATTAATGTACTGCATTGGTTGTATTTTTGAAATAAAGGTAATAACTTCAACAACTAATAAAGGAATTCAAAATACTTTGGGTTCATCATTATCTTGTGCTCTCACATGTTTCCTTAGGGTTCATGTATCCTCTTGCTGAAACATATCCTTTCATACTCCTCTTAATGAGGTTTGATGAGAAGCAAATTCTCTCAGCCTTCATGTGTTTTATTTTCCTGTGTCTTGGGTGATGCTTCACTGGCACTAAGCAACCTAGCAATATTGTCTTCTAACCTCAGCTGCTGATGAGAAGAGTCTCAATCTGTTGTCACTCTGGTGGGTTATCTGCCTAGTCTGCTGGTACCTTTTAGGAATGTTTTTGTTTTCATTCTATAGCTTTACTCTGATGAGTCTAGATATGAATTTGTCCTTATACTGCTCAGAACAACCAATCTTCTTCTCTGACAGAACTTTACTTGGATTTTCTGTTTGTTTACTTGTTTCTCTTCAAATATTGTTTTCCTGCCTATCTTTTTCTTGTCCTTTTTCAATTCTTATTAGACAGTGGGGTTCACTCATCTGTCTTCCATTGCCCTTAGTTGCTTTAAAAACTGTTGTTTACATTTTTTGCTGTACTTTGGACGAATTTGTTGGTACCATGTTTAGTTCACTAATGAGGTGTTTAACCAAACCCAGGATGAAAAATTTATAAATCCAAACAAGCCTAGTCTAGTACCACTTACATGAAAGTTGTATAACAAATATTTACTAATTAAATATCAAAGCCACTTTTTATGTTTGATCCTTTTGTTCTTGTAGACATGTAACTATTAAAAATAAATCATATTTTACATAACCAAAATATATCATAAAACTAATTTTCAATTTAACTTTTAAATCAACATATGACAATATTCCATCAACATAAACATATTTTAAATTTCATGCAGTTAGAAGATTTTTGTCTTTTTGAGACAGGGTCTTCCTGTAGCCCCAGCTGTCCTGGAACTCACTATGTAGACCAGGCTGGCCTTGAACTCACAGAGATCCACCTGCCTCTGCCTCCCCAGTGCTGGGACTACAGGCATGCGCCACCATGCCTGGCAAGAATATTTTAATTTAGATATGGTGTTCACGTGCCTAGGCTTTTTTAAAGGAAATCTTTTTGGGATCGCCTAGAAGAACCCTTAGACTATAGGTTTTCCAGTTAACTTTAAATTTTGGATTGCTTCATATCTGATAGTTTCTATTACTATGTTTTGTAATTTTATGGCTGTAGACTCCTGGTCTAGTACTAAGGTAAGAATGTCTCTGTTTTGCTTCCAAGACTTTGTTCGCTGGTGCTTAACATTTTGTGTTGTACAAAGCAGCCCATGGAAAAACGGAGGCAGTTTGCAAGCATGCTATGAAAGTCTAATGTGAGACATTAAACAATCCCGCTTTTTTCATACCAGATGAAAACTGAGACACCCTCACCTTCTCCCAGCTACAATCTGATGTGAATTTATTAGCGTGGGATTCACAAAGCACACAAGAAGATTCTAGAATCCTTTAAACATACAAGGATGTTGGGTCACTTAACACAACCAGTTAAACCAGTAGGATCCTATAAAATGGTCACAGCTGGAGGAGTCTGGTGATCAGAAAGGGCCACAAACTGATTAATGTCAGAGCTTCCCATGATGAGTGGGACTCTCAATAGTATTCTCTGTTCCCTGCAGAGAAGTGGAACATTTGTCAACTCTTTGATTGCAGTTCTGACTATTTGTGGGCAACAGCTGTTCTCCTCCTACACATTCAGTTGTCCATGCCAAGTTGGAAAAAATTTCTATTACGGTTCAGCTTTTCTTGTGGTTCCTGCCTTGATCCTTTTGGTTGCTGGCTATGGTCTAAGAAGCCAGTCATGGATGATTGCCCGTGAATACTGCTGCTGCAGCTGTGCCCTTCCACACCGGAGGATCAGCCCCTTGGAGCGCAGGCTAGCTTGCCTCAGGTTCTTCAGCATCACTGGAAGAGCACTTGTTGCTCCATTAACGTGGCTGGCAGTGACGCTGTTGACTGGAACGTTTTTTGAATGTGCAGCAAGTGAGTTTGTATCCGTGGACCAGTACCCAATGTTTGCTAACATCACTGCCAGCAAACAAGAAGAGATCCTGGCTGGATTTCCATGCTACACGTCAGCTCCTCCTGATGTGGTCCCGGTAAGAGACCAAGTAGCTCTTCTGCATAGATACCAGTCACAAGTAAGTTCATGACTTTTTTCTCTCATTCTAGTCCATGCTTATAACAGTTGCATGAACATCTCACATTTCTGCTGCTTCTCATATTGTCTGGTTACAGAACACAAACTAGATTTCATTCACCAGAGTGAGTGGAAGTAGACTGCTCCAGGCACAGTTAAGGGTGCTGGGAGTCAGCAGGCCTGCTTCAGTTTTGCTGCTTTGCCACTTAGTAACTGCCCATTTTTGACTAAGTTATATGATTGCTCCATGCTTTGCTTTCTAAGCTGTGATAGGAAGATGATGACAGTGTTTACCACATAGAATTGTGAGGAATAAATGAACTAATGCTTTAAAAGAGCTCAGGACTGTGCCTACAATCTACATGGAAAAATGAGTTTTAATATTATTAGGAATATCATAGAATGTTATCAGGATATTAATATATTACTAAATCTCATTTTTTTCTGCATGTTTTTTCACAAATACATTCTTGTCTAAAATCACAGGAAGCTCAATCGTATTTCAAATATCTCCAATGATGGCTATAAATTCAATTTCCATGGACAAATTAGTGTCAGAGGGTGGGATGGCGCAGGAGGACAGCATTTAACTTTTAGTTAAATTTTAGAAGTGCAATTTTGCATTTTGGCAGGAAAAAGTCATTGATTCAGCATTTCTCTAAAGGATTTGGATAAAACATATTTTCGAACCACTGAAGTACAATAAAAAGCATGTTATAGCTTAATCTAGTTATTGCAAAGGCATACATGGTTTTTGGCCTGTTAACTTTCAGTTATTAGAATTTAGGATGCTAAATGTTATTTAATTACAACCAAGACATAGAATACTGAAGTGTTCCAATATGACCAAGTTGGAAAAAAGTTATAATTACATTAGGATAGGCTTGTCACAACTTTTTTTTAACTAGTCATAAGGTTCAGCTGGAGGAGCTATGTGAAGGCTTGCAGATGAATGGTGACATGCAAAGACACCATCACAGGCCGAGTTGTGCCTGTGCACTGTTAGCAGTCCTAAACCTGTAGAGCTAGTCTTCCTTACTTGGTAAGTAACAGTTGATAAATATTTTAAAAAGCATTAGATAAGGAAAAAAAAAGATCTTAAGAGTTTAAAAATTATATCAGTCTTTAAAAGCAGGCACTAAATAGTCCCAAATAAAGTTAGTTGATCTTTAAAGAAAACCAGTAAAGAACTGAAAGCATAGTGCCTAAATCAATGGTAGATTTAGAAATGCAAATTCACTTGCTAACTTCTTTGGTTGCAAAAGATAAGTGGAAAGAGCAACACAGGAAGAAATATCAATAAATACTTGTTAGCAGATCACTGAAGACATCTTGGAAGGCTACCATTATTGTCTATCATGCCATCATTTTCATCACCATCATTATCAGATATTAATTAAATTACCAACAAATGCATGGGTCTGTACCTGATGACTGAGAAACAAGACTGAGTTATACAAAAAGGACAAGGTTTATGCATCCTATATAAGGTTAATTGGTGGCTTATAGCATCTGTTACTTCAAGGACAGTACTTAGAATCCATCCCACATCAACAGGTCAAATTCCTTTGTAATACGAAGGCCAAGATGAAATGGCTTGACCTGTCCTCCTGTCAGAGCTATTTCCACATCAAATGCTGGTCACTGTATATTGTATACTAAAGACAGGAGAAGCAAAGTTTTCATCCATGTTTTAGTTTTGAGATTTGTAAGAAACCATCTTACCATGGCTGTTTCTTGAATATTTGATGTATTGATGCTTGCTCTTTTTATTTCTAATAATTATTTGAAGATGCTGGGCTGGATTTTGATCACCTTGGCAACCACTGCTGTCCTGGTCTCCTACTTTCTGACAAGATGCTGCTCTCCCCTCACCTCTCTGCAGCATCATTACTGGACCAACTACCTTGAGAGCGAGAAACAGCTCTTTAAACAAGCTGCAGAGGAGCATTCCCGGATTCTCATCAGGCAGCGCATAAAGAAACTATTTGGCTTCATTCCTGGGAGTGAAGACATCAAACACATTCGTATTCCTTCATGTCAGGACTGGAGAGATATTTCTATACCCAATCTTCTATGTGTGGGTGATACCTCACAGGGTCCCTATAGCTTCCTTGGAGACAGGGTAGTTGAGAATAACGAGGAAGACAAATCAGAAGGTATTGAATTAAAATCCTGATAGCCATACCATCATATCTCAAGTTCCTAAATAGGTACTTGATTTTATGATGACAGAGGTTCAATGCAACGTCTTCTTTTCCTTTCTCTTTGATACTTATTTATAGAAGTCCATTCAAAATACTATTTCCAAAATCAATTTATAATGTGACAACTTCCCTATCTTTATGAAGTTTCATTACGTGCTGGTAATACCTGCTTTACCATGCTGGTCCACTTAAAAACAATATGGAATTTTAAGTGATATCAAATTTGCATTTTAGTTCTGTTTCTTGGTACCTGTGTGAAAACTAGTATTTCTGAGTGTTAGTTTGTCATACACCTGTAATAGGTACCTCATAGAGCTGTTGAGAAGACCGAATATGACAAAGTACTCACCACCACACTTTTCATAAAATGAGTGCTAACAAGCATCACTTTCTCCCTTTCTCTTTAAATTCCACATCTTCTGTCACTCTTTTCTAATTTTTATTTGCTCTGTTTTTTCATTTGAATGATACATTTTCACTGCCTTCTCCTCTTTCTTTAACTCTGGATAACTAGTTGTGTAGGGAGCAATAGAAAAGGCCCTTTGTGAAGTGGCAGCAAGTGATGAAGGTCTTCAGTCATCTTGCCAAGATTAGGGAAGTGATGTTTTCCTACCTTATCATTAGCGTCCTGTTATTCATGGCATCTCCACACTATGGCCACTAAATACAAAGTTTATGCTACAAGCTTCCCCTCTGTGCTCCACAACAGGGGTCCCAACAGTGCCCTTTCCTTATCAAACTGCTCCTTTGCACTCAAAATCTGTCTGAGGAACTAAGACTCAAGTTTATACTTGCAGTCTTTACTAGACCTCAGAAAGGGATGGCTTTACTGTGCCCAGCTTTGCTAAATCATCCCCTAATATTTGATTTTATGATTAAATTTTATCATGACTATATTTTCCTCAAACCTGATTTTTATCTTGTTTGCTTAAGCACTGGCTTATTGGCTAAAATGAGCAATCTGAAGGTTTTTGTTTATTTCTTTGGCTAAAATGATTTATTATTGTCAAATGGCCAACTGCCAATGGGCAACTTGACTTTCAAGATTCACTTTCAAGGAGACTAAACAACTGGACTACTTAAAATGCAACCAATTTCTTGCATTAATTTTCAAATAATTACAGAAGATTCTATTTTGTGTCAAATTTTGGTATTTTGACTTAAGAGAAACAAGTGAAAAATAAATTTTTGAGAAAAACTTCCTTCAGGAGTCCCCCTGATAAGAGACTGCGCAGTGTAACCCTTGCCTAGGACAGGTGTGCCCTTCCACCAGCACTTATCACTAACAACCCGAGTCAGTTCCTCTCCCTGGGCCCTCTTTCATCTGTAAAATAGGGATAGTGTACTGCACTGTCTGGAAGACAAATATTTAACCAAACGAATTAAAGCCCCTTCTAAAACTGATAAGATTTTTATGTTTGTTGGTATATAGGCTAATGTGTCTGCAGTTCTCTGGAATGACAGTAGACTCATGTTGCTTCTTCACTAAGTTGGATTTGAGCTGTCTCTAAAACTGTCCACTAGCATTCTACTTCCTAAGAAATCTATGAATGATCTTTCTCAAGTGGTCAAGGAAAGCTACTCTACCTCATCAATTAACTGCATACTTAGTACTAATATGATGGTACACAAATGACGTTGAAAACAAAACAGAAATGTGTTGGGAAAGATGAGTTAACTTGGGTACTGAGTTAGTAAATGTGGAAAGTCTCATTCATTTTATTCTCAAACTCTCCCCGAGTTCTAAAACTCTAAGTTTCTACTGACAGAAATGCTTTGCTTTCAGATTTTCTTGACACTGGGACTGACTAGTAAATGAACCCTTTACACCATACTCAGAATTAGTTTATTAGTTTCCAGGAACTACACCACAATAAAGACTCTTCAATAAGGTTTTCAATTAGCAGCACAATCAAAGAATCTGTAAGTTATAGCATTACATTATCAGAAAGAAGATTAATAGTTACTTATGCCTTAATACTAGGAAAGTGTCCTATGGGCTTCTGAAGCCCTTTCTACATCAAACTTTTTCAGAGCACAATATACAAAGTTTACCTTTTGTGCCAGTTATCACAATCATGGTTTTCTGGTAAAGGAGAAGGAACATTCTTCATCTACATGGTTTCAAAGTATTCTTAGCATTTATTGGAACACTGAAGGTATAGTATACATATTTGGGATTTCACTGTACTGTATATTATCCATTTAAAATAAAATAGAATCTCCTCCTACCCTTTCTGGTATATTCTTTTGTAAGTAAAACTTTTTGCACTTCCTCCCCTTTATGCTTAATGGATTTAAGTAATTATGAAACATATAATTAAAATCAATTATATGCGCTTATACTACCTAATATTTTGCTACCAAGTGCTTTTGGCTGACACATCAAATTCTGCGACTTGGCACAGAGTCTTGCTGACTTCTTAACTTCAATTTTGTTAGCTCCACTGTTCCTCCACCGCAATCTAGATTGCCTGCTTGTCAGGAGACAAACCCAACATTTAGCTAAGTTTGATTCTAATTCCTTTATGTCATCCAAAGCTGAACTGGATAAAACTGTACTTACAGATTATCTTCCTTGTTTCTTTTGTGCTCTGTTCTCGTCATCAGCTATTTTTTTTTCTTGTTGTTTAAAGATTTGAATGAATGATTGTAATTAGAAACAGCGGTGTGGGGACTAGAGCGATGGCTCAGGGGTTAAGAGAACTTGCTGATCTTCCAAAGGAGCTGAGTTCAATTCCCAGCACCCATCTTGGAGTAGCTCATAACTGCTGTAACTTCAGCTCCATCCAGGGGATCCAACACCCTCTTCTGGCTTCTGAGGGTACCTGCACACACACACACACACACACACACACACACACACATACACACAATCATTTAAAAAATAAAAAAGAAACAACAGTATGATTTTGCTGTTTTCCTGTATCTGGTTTGTACTCAAATGGAAAGCACATTAACCCTAAAACTTTGAAGTTTCATAATTAATTAAAGGTCTTCTGATTGCAGAGTACATAAGCATTTGCTATCTCAAAAACACAAAACCCAAGGTTTAGAAATACTATTTTAATTTAAAATTATACTTGGCCAAAATTTAACTCTGATCAAGGAAAGATAGATAGTGCCAGGCTTAAAGAAACAGACAGGTCTAAACTGGTTGCTTAAGTTTGTGGGGGTGGGGGGCAAGTCCACAGATGTGACCTCTGGATGGAGGACTAATGTGTGGTATTACCAGGCAAGGTACATTATTCCCAGCCTGAACTGTTCTGTGCTAGGCACCAAGTATGATCAAGCTTCTCGAATCTCAGGACAGCAGAGCTCCAGGAGGGACACAGGCTGGGCTATAAGTACAGTCTCCTCTGTTAGCACCTATGCTCCATGCAGGCGCCTGCACCCATCTGCAGTGGGTGACAACAATATAGGCAGAGGATTCAGAAAAGAGGAAATCTGAAGTGCTCCCAAACTACAAACTTTTAAAACAGCAACATGATGGATTAGGGATGTTTAACCAGTAAAATCTATAGATGTTCCAAAATATGGAAAAAAAAACACTATGTAACCTGAAGCACTTTTGTCCTTGGGCATTTTGAATAAGGGATGCTTAATTTTTAATAGTAAATATAATTCACAGTGCTTACAATATGCCAGCTTATTAAAAACTGGCACATACAGTCACGTATTAGAAAACAACTCGATGAAATGACATGAAAAAAATGTGGAGATTGTAAGTTTTTAAGTCTTATGCGAACAAAAATACTTTCCTATTTTTACAATTGTTTCAATAGATAAGAAGTGATTCGTGAGTCATTAATGGAATTCAGGTCTATTTGATGCTAAAAAAAAAGCTCTTGTTCTGTTAATGAGACAGTTGAGCTACATTAGAGATCATTGTGCCAAAGATTACATTCCTTTTAGTGGGGAAGCCAGAATGCAGCCCCAGCTGTCTATTAGTCCTATGCTCCGTAGTGTTGGCCTAGAGTCCTGCAAAGGGCATGGGTCATCAGCCTTCCTGAGCCATGTAGGTGTGCACAGGATTCTCCACATACTCACCCTGAGCTCCAAGAAGATACTATATCACATTTGAGTACCACTCTTCCAACCCAAACTGCACCTGTGTACAGAAAGGCTTGCTTACAAGGCACTGTGCTTCTTATCAGATGACTTCTTCCCCTTCTCTGAGACCTAACTCTGCATTTGATCTATACAGAAGCCAACCCCAACAATTCTACAATTCTCAGACTAGCCACAAGCCTGCCCAGGAGTCTCAGGGACTCTCTCTCTCTCTCTCTCTCTCTCTCTCTCTCTCTCTCTCTCTTATAAAAGAGCCAGTCAGGACAGCACTACAATCTAATTTGTTTTCAGGAGGCCATAGTTATGAAGGGTTGAAAGGTTGACAGAGGTCAGGAAAAACTGCCTTTTATTACTCACATGGTCATGTCTGTCACTTCCTAGAACTTCCATTTTCCTTTACATGAGATAGGCGATGATAATTAAATTGTAGCAGTTGAGTAAACTATTTTGAGCACTCACCTATTTGAATAGCAATTCTAAGAAAAGCTATTTTGAGCAAATATCCTACAAAACTGTACATAGGCACAGGCATGCCAACATACACAGAATTTATAAGAAACTTGTCAATGATATTTTTATGAAAAAATATACTTTGCAGGTAAGATCAAGTTAATTGCTTTGAGATGAAGAGATTTATTCACATGTAACCACAAGGGCTTTTATAAAAGGGCTTTAGGAGGAATCAGTCAGAGAGGTGTTGGGTGACTTTTCCTGGGGAGACATGAACAAACGTCTACTCATACCATTTAGGGGGCTAATAACAGACAGACCAAAGAAACAACTGTACCAAGTTCAACTTGGTGAACCAATGAATTTATTGGTTACTTACAAGAGTATGGGTGAAGGGTCACTTACAGGAGTAAGAATGATCCAAAGGCAGATACAGTATCAAAAGCTCATC